AAGGAGACAAGAAAAATGATGTAAAGGAGAAATAACCATGACATTCTACATATACACACACAAGGGCACATACATATGCATACATACACACACACACACATATACACAAACACATACAATGAAGAAAAAAATCAAACTTACATCAATAAAAAGAGCATAAATTATTTTTAACTAATAAAAATAAAGAAAAAGTGCAGTCAATTGCTGATACCCCCTGAAGAGTGGAGAGAGCAATTACTAATAGGTCTGTCTTCAAAATTTATGAGTCAGGGCACAGCTAAGTGAAGAAATTCATATTTGCATTAATCCTATCCACATATATAAATATATAAGAATATATATATCCTCACCTACATAGATATACATAGGAACATTCAGGGTGTGATAGGTAACGATTTTATATTTTTAATTTCACACATGCACATTATTTGTTTTGGGTTTTGTTGACTGCACAGTATAGTAGCGTTAGTTAGGCACCATCTGTGAGAAAAAGAGCACCATGACACAATTCACTCCACCAGAAATCTGGAAATGACATACTGTACTGCTTGGCATTCTTGCTGGAAGCTCCAGTACGAACATTTCAGAGTGTTTGGGTGACATTCTGAGAACACTACAAATAATTTAGAAAGAATTGGATGAGTCTTATTGTGACCATAAAGGTATGGCAGCTCAGAAAACTCACTCTGATCATTCTGATAAGAAAAGAACTCCCAAATGTTTTGGTGATAGCTTGTCTGCCCCGGGACAAGAGATTGGCTGCTGGAAGATCCCATATCTGGCAAGTAAGACTCTGCACTATGCCACACAAGCAGTAGAACCAAGTCATGGCTGTCAGACAACCACATCACACCTTAGATTTGGCTACATAACTCCCCAGAGTGCAACCCCTTGATTATTATGTGTGGGACACAGTTAAGCAAGAGAACAACAAAACTCCTGGTAACACCAAAGATGAACTGAAGGTAGAATTCACCAACTTAAACAAGAATTTTGCTGCTGAATTACTGGCTTTGTACCTTCCGAAATATGGTAAGAATGTACTGTTTTCTTCTAGGACATAATTGTCCTGCAAAAATGAAATTGACGCATTGTCTGTTCCTTGCTTTCCCAGGATTGCTTTTATCTGTTCTTGATATTCAATCCATTCTCATTGCATTTGTTGTAATAATGTCTTTTGGAATTCTTGCTGCTGCCGAATAATTATCTTCAATTCTTCCTTAGTTTATTTTATTCATACAAGTATTCCTTAACTAAGAAGAAAAAAATGTTTTTTTGTCATAGCCATTTTTCATACAGCTTTGAAGAAATAACATGTCACTTGGAGTCAATGTAGTCTTGCTGAAATAGGTAGTAAGCAGATAAGCTAGATCTCTAATTCTCTACTTATCTCTCCTTCTACTGATGATTCTTGGCATCAGTCTATATGTATTTGGATGAGTTCAAGTCCTCTTCTGGAGAGGTGTGTTCATCTCCACAACACACTATTAAGAAGAGAGAACAATAAGAGGACAGAAATTAATAATGCAAAATATAATGGTTGACATTGCATTTAAATTTTTAAAGATCAAAGTTGACTGGAAAGGAAGAAGCTGGAAGAGAGTGCAAGAAGAAACTGTTAGCATAGAGCTTATAGTCACAGAATCCTTTTTGGATTCTATCAAGAATCTCTAAATATATAGCAAAAGCACCAAACCAGATACTGAAGCAATATTCAAAGCATGGGTGAATGGTAAACTTACAAATATGTAAAATAGATTTTAGTGACAAAAATTATCTTGCACAACACAATGAACCAACTTTCCTAGCAGCAGACTTAGCAATTGATTAAATATAATCTTTCTACTTCATGTCAGTGGAGAATGTTAGCCTTGATTGTTTCTGGTTTCTGTTTGGTTCGTCAAACCAGAGCCAGCACACACTAACCCCACCCACTACCGACCAGGGAGGAAAACCTGATTTGGGCCTCCAGGCAGTTCTTTATGAACCTCACTATCTTACCAATATTTACTTTTTTTTCTACCTACATTTATATTCATTAAAAATTAAACTAAGTTCAACTGACTATGAAAAATGTTTACAATTTTGACATCATTCTGGGGTCTTTTTTTTGGTCCAAATTTGTGAATCTGTTTAGCCCATTCTAAGTCTCAAAAAATCACTATATAAAATTCTTTTATCCATAATGTATTATCCATTTTTTATCCATAATGTTTTATCCATAATTTGTTAAAATTATTCAACTTTTAACAAGAAAAATCTCAAGTTGATGTTAAAAATTGCCGTAAAACATTGTTGATTTAAGATGAAATGATCTTTTATGAAATGTCTCTAATTTCTATTTAGATACATTCTCTTTATTTTCAATTTTTCTAGTTGAATTGTTCACCTATATTGCATATGATTCATTATCCATACATAATTATGTTACAATAAAATTTGTATTTTATATGAATATTACCTTATGAAAATTGAGATGTAGTAGAGTAGGAAGCTCTTTATTATAGATTCCACATATTACAGATTCAGTGGGGGCCCACAAGACCCTTGCACCAGCCCTGGGTCAGATTATGCTGTCATATCTGGTTAGTTCGGGGAAAAATGACTTTGTGCCATAGTGATTCTGAATATACATCTATTTTTAATACGTTGACTCCCACACAAGCCACCAGAGTGTCACGGCAGTATATCAGCAAGGCCCACACAATTTCTTTTCTATGAGGATTATTGGAAGTGGGATTAATTGTTTATGAGGTCATGGTATATCAGAATCACATTTTTTTCAAAAATTTTAATATTTTTAATATTTTTATCTTTCACTTTGTTTTCCTTTTGGAATTTCTCCTGTTCTTTTTTTTTTTTTTTTTTTTTTTTTTTTTTTGGGTGGGAATATTTTTTTCATTCTTACATACACAGGGCTGTACTAAGCATTTGTGTGGGTCATGTGGGACTTGGGTTATAAAATGGACTTGGGTGTTGAATGACACACTAGTGGTTCATGGCTAATAAATACTACCTATGATATCCTTGCCTCATATATATGAAACAATGTTAAAACAAAGTTGCTTGTACCAAAATTAATTAAGATATAATGTTAGGACCCTAGGACAACAAGGGAAATGAAGTGTGGGAGTCAGTGTGTTAAAGATGGTGAAATTTTTGATTTTCTTATTATTTATTTTTGTTATGGAATAATTAGTCATGGTTAAAAATGTAATATAGACAAAACTTTCACAGATAGTACTTTGGGTGTGTGTGGGGTCCCATCCACATATAACACTTTGGGGCGAGGGACATCCACAAAAATAGTAATTAGGTGGGTGATACTAGAGTCATTACCCGACACCTGAGGCATCCCCAAAAGAAGTGAAGAGAACTTCAGCAATTTCTGAACAGCTTCCCAGAATTAATCTTGACCTTGTGTCACATTCTGTAATGATGTGGATGTGTAGAGTGTGGATAAGTACCTATACAAATTTAGTTGCAACAGTTAACATAAAAAAAAAAACATACACGACAGAAAATAAGCATTTTTTTTTCTATTTCATACCAAGTGGAGGAAGAGAATTGATTTCACTTTGAGGTGGAAAGGGTACAAAGGTAAAAGACAACACAAACAACAGAAAATCAAGTTATAAATAGTTTTGATTTTGAATGAAGATTATTAAATAAACTGAAATTTCAAGGAAATCAAATGCATTACATGATTGAAGCAAAAAGAATGTCATGACTGTGAAAGAAAAATATGTTGAGGGAAAGCTAACTTTTCAAGAAAAGTGGGAAAATTTATATTTTGTAGTGAAGGTAAATAAGCAAGGATGGTCCGTACTACTCTGAATCCCCCGACCGGGAGTAGTCTGGGAGTCCCCGGAAATGCTTTGTGACCCTCGCTATCTTATCAACATTTGAAATTTTCTACCTACACTTTTGTTACAAATTAAAAATTAAACTACGGACAACTAAGTAAATTAAAGGATGAAAAATTTTAGCAGCTTTTGAGGTAGGGGGGGTCTTTTTTGTCAAAATTTGATTTGTTGTGAATTTGTTTTTTGGTTATGCTAAAAAACAGAAAGTCTCGAAAAAAAACTAAAACTAAAACTTAAAACACTATATAAAATCCTTAATTTACTTTGCCCATTCTAAGTCTCGAAAAAAAAAAAAAATTATTCAACTTTTAAAAAATCATAAAAATTGCCGCAAAAACTTGTTGATTTATTTAAAAATTATGGAATGATACATGTCTATTTTAGTTTACTTTAGAGTTTAGATTCATTATTTATTTTCAATTTTTCTAGTTGAATTATTCATTGCTTATGATACATTATTCTACATAAATAGGTTACAATAAAATTTGTATTTTACTACCTTAAAAATTGAAATGTACTAGAATGGTGGGGGCGTATAATAGATTGGGGGCGAGGCATGAGACCCTAGCACTAGCCCTGTAAATAGGGTTGTTGATTATCAAACATTTTGACGTGGAAGGATATATTCTATAGCATTAGATTCGGGACACGTTGTTTTTTCTCATTTGTTTTTTTTTTTTTTTTTGAGAATCGGTGTTTTTACGGGTAAATTTTGCTTCTCTTTCCTTTTTCCTTTTTTTTTTTTTAAGATGAATAGCTAGAATACGGGCAAACAAAATCTTTCCTGTTTTCGCCATTCTTTCTTTCTTTCATTTTCATAATTACTATAACTCAAAATTACGTAAGTAATTTAATTCAGCTTTGTGAGTCCATGGACTCATTGTTGGGAACCAGGCCACTGTGTACGACCGCATCCGGCTCACTGAACTTCTCCCTTAAACATGTAATAGCCCTTTTATGTCATTGAGTTTAACACCCCTAGCTTATGTAATCGAATCAGAACCCTTAAAAAGAAAAAAAAAAAAGGTTTAGCTCTTGAGAAAATGATCAACACATTGATAAAATTAATGTTTTCCATTGCCTGTGATGCGATAGATAAAATTAGTAAAGATTAAAAATAAAAAAATAACTTACTTCTTGACCCATTTTTGTGTTACAAGGAAAATACCAATACAGTGTATTTCAAACCAATGCCTAAATAAAACTATATAATTGTGTAAATAATGTGTTTTTAACGACTTATTAGGAGAGTACTTTTTCCCAGTTTGTTTTTTCTTAATTTAACTAACAGATGAAATTTGAAATACAAAGGAAGTCGATAGAAAATTCTTTTAAATTCATGGGTATTTCTGTTTCACTTTTGAAAATGAAAGTGAATTAAGAAAGAAAGAAAAATCTTTTCTTTCAAATAAAGTTGATACGGTTACTTTTGATTACTTTTATTTATTTATTAATTTAATTAATAGTTACTGTCACGAACTTTGTAATAAAAAGTTTGAAGATATGTTCAATAATTCGCCCCCTCCCAAGAAAAACAGCATATGAAAAAAGGCCCCAAACTTAATAAAAACAAAGTTTTATTGTGAAAAAGTTTATGTTATTAATTAATAAGAGGAAAGACAAAAGTATTTTTTAATTATTTTTAAAATTTTTTATCCCTTTCTTGCACGTTTGAAATTTGGATTGAACATCTATTTTTTTTTACGTCAGCGGTCGCGTAATATCGAATTTAGCATTAGTTTTTTTTTTAGCGCTTTTTTCATTTGAAAAACATTAATTTGGAAATTCTTACAAAAAATCAAATAATTGTCAGATTCTCATGAAACTTTCAGAACTTATTCAAAAATAAATAAAATTATTTTAGAAATGTTTGTCTTTTAGAAAGCCATGATAAAAATGTTTTTTTTTTACATCTGTTACCACCCCCGCTTTATGAAAACTCGAATATGTGTAGTGTACTTTTGTAATTTTTTTTAATTAAATGCAGAAGACTTTGAAGAATATAAATCAACGATTTTTTTTTCAAATCGTGGAGCGTTTCTACCCAAACTTTAGCTCTGAATTGTAAAATACAAAAGTAAACCCAATAATTAAGACATTATTTAATTAAAAAAGATTTTAATAGCTTTTATGAATAATATATATTAAGGACATTATTGTCTGAAGCCAACATATTTTTTCGATAAAAATTAATTTTTACAAGAATTGTTTTCTTTTTTTTCTTTTTTTTTTTTCAATTTTAAATACAAAATGTAATAAAGTTTTTAAATATTTTAAAATTAAGTTTGAATATGTGTATCTCTGGAAATGCTCTCATTAAAAGATCTATTTTTAAACATTTTAAATTTGAAAGCTCATTACAATCTGCGAAGTGTTTCTATTTTTACAATAATTTTTTAATATGAGGAAAAATGTAATAAAAATGTTTTCGGCAAAACTACGGAGGCACAATTCAAAAATAATGTCATATGTTTTAAGAGTTTTATCCTGATAACAAGGACCCGGCCTTATAAATTGCGTTGATTTCGTGTCAAATTCTCTGACTGACCTACCATCATCGTCGCATTTTCAAAATTTTTAATTTTCTTTTTTTTTTTACATATTTCACTAAATATTTTCTTTTCATTTTTTTTTTTTTTTTTTTAAATATAATCATTTTTTTTTTTTTCAGTGAGAGATATACTGCAATTATTATTTTTTCCTTTTTTAGATCAATTTTGGGGACGGAAACTGCAGGCTTTGGAGATATCTTAGTTAAAAAGTACCTAAAAAAATCAATAAAATATTAGACATTTTTATGAATCACTTTATAGTTAAATAAGCTGGTCTATTTAAAATTCGAAAATAGTGTCACTTTTACTCTTCCGTCCGATAAATTACCCTGACGTTAGTTGTCGATACATTGACGTAAACGTCAATTCACACATCCAAAACCAATCACCACAGTTAGACATGCTTCTCTTATTTTCAACTAAATTTTTTTCTGCTAAAAAATTAAGTAATGTTTGTTTCAAATTACATTAAGTATACTTTAAATTTTTCTAATTTTCCTAAAACAACTTTGGAAAAAGTAGAATTGAATAATTTTACAAGATTTTTAAACGGAGAATTTCACTTTTGTTTACAAAGTTGTCAAAACTGGCTGACATGATCGATTTTATGTAAATTTGCTGCCCCCCCCCAAAAAAAAACAAGATTTTTAATTTAAATTTCGGAATAGGAAATGTTCATAAAACAGATTAAAATAAATGATCTGACACAAAATAATCCCCAACAATGTTTAAGATAAAGGTAAGATAGTTCGTTCCTCTTCGAAGGGATATGTGGTTTGTATACGTTCAAAAGTAGACGAAAAGAGTTAGTTCGAAATACTTTCTTCGATTGTTGAGACAAAATTCTTTGAAATGCCCTGTGCGCTGTTTAAAGCCCGTTAATATAATTGACGAGTAATTTTACACTGGTGAGTACTTCAACGTTTGTTGCGAGAAATTGAAATGAAACCTTTCATATTACTGCCGACACGCTTCTTTACTAATTTAATTTTTCTCATTTTATCTAAAAAAAAAAGAAAAGAATTTCACATTGGCTCGCTATTTTTTTTTTTTTTCGTTCTTCTTGGTTCATCGGCTAATTTCCGTGAAGGCAAGGTTTTTCACTGATCCAAAAAGAATTTCGCATAGGCTCGCGAATTTCTTCTCTTCTCCTTCTCGGCTCACTGGTTAATTCTCACATAGGCTAGCGATTTTTTTCCTTCTTCCTCTTCAGTTCTGCCAATTTAAAAGGAGTGGATGAAACGAATTATAATTCCGTATTGACTATATACTATTTCGATTACCTAATTCGATGGATATCAACAATTGAAAAATTGTCAGTTTTAAAATCTCTTAAAAATCCAGTACCGGTCCGCGTCATTTGTTTCAAAGAGAAATAGTAAATTTGATGTTTAATTAACTAGAGTAGATCTAGTAAAATTTTTACTTTTTACTTAAAATTAGGTATTACCAAAAATTCTTTAAAAAACGGATATATAATGAAAAAATTCTCAAAAAATAATAAAAACTAAATTTTATCGTCAAAATCTTTGTGATTAGGTATCAGCACTAAAAAAAAAAAAAAAAAAAAGGGGTAGAAAAGAAAGAAGTGATAACGTTTTAAAAAAAAATATTCCGAGTATTATGAATGACGAAAACGAAAGAAACAAGACTTGGTATTTCTGGGTTATCTGACGTCATCATTTAATTTACGTTTTGGTGATCTTGTAAGGGCAGAGCTATAACTAATTTATATTTACGCAAAATACCACAAAATATGAAACAATAAGAAGAAACATTCAAGAAGAAAAGTATTTTAAACCATTATACAAAGTTTGAATGATGTGTAGTGTAATTCAGTGAATTAATGTTTGGTTGAAGAGTATGTATTTGTTATTTAAGTCACTTGAAAATGTTCTTTTAACAGGTCAAATGTGTTCCTGTGAAGAATTTCAAAGTATGCGGAATTATACAGAAGTTGTAATTAATAAACCTGTTTGAAATTAATTAAATAGTTTGTAACAATTTCTATAGTTGAAAATTCAATGTTTAAATATAGCAGGAGTTATTTACCTTTAACTGCTAGTTGAATTGCTTAAGGTTTTCTGAACTCGAGGAAAAGATTTCAGTTCATGAAATAATAATCAATCTCAATGAAAGAAATACTCTTCGATAAGAAGGTATTGTAGATTGAGAAGTTTGGTATAGGATGATTTCAAAGAAACTTGTTGAGTGAGAGAAAATTGTATTCTTCGCTTGAAAATCGAGAAGTATTTTGTACTAAAAATGTAATTTTTTAGTTTAAAATATTTTTAAATCAGATTAACTTAAATTTTAATATGCCAAAAAATATTTCAAAATCATATTTACTTGAAAATATTTTTTAGATATGACAAAAAATATTTTTTTAAATATTTAAAATATTGTTTGTTTAAAAATTTCTATAGATACTTTTTAGTATTTGCAGCAAATAACTTCCCCCTTTCAGTATTGACCCGTCAGTCTCCTCAGTATCATTAGTAAGCATTTTGGTATTATAATCAAGAAGAAGATCCTGGATAAGAACAACCTCTTCAATGACAAGCAGTATGGGTTTCGATCGGCCCGATCCACTGCTGATGTCCTAACTACTATTACTCACAGAATCAATGAAACTTTTGACAACAAATACACATCAACGAACATAGCATTAGATACCATAAAAATACTAAAATTTCTTATACTAATCTTTGGTACAAACCCCAGCCACCCGCTCCCACTGACGTAAAATAAATTAACCAAAAATTTTTAACCAAAATTTCGAACGTTCAAAAAATGATTAAAAAATATACTTAAATAATTAAAAAAAATCCTTTGGTCTTTCCTCTTAATGATAACAAAGATTTTGACAACAAAAATTTGTTTTTAATCAAGTTTGGGGCCTTTTTTCAGAATTGTATGCTCTTTTAGAGAATTAGTGCCGGTAATTAGTAGATAGAAATAGAGATGAAGACCAAGATTTTCTAAAAAGGAAATATTTAAAAAACAGTTTCATTCATTTGTGAATAAATCCTGTCAGTTTCATTAAAATCTAACAATAAACGGATTTTTGTAAGTATTTCCTAAGTAATGCGTTTTTCACCGCCAAAAGATGCTCAAATTTCCCTTACTAATTTATAATTTATGGTGTTTATGTTGAAGCAAGAAAAACAAAATTTTTCCTCAAATTTTCATAGCTTCTATCAGAGATTTAAAAAAAATCATTTTTACATAAAAATCTTTTGGTCATCCCTCTTACAAAGATTTTGATCAAAACTTTTTTTTAAATTAAGTATTCTGCATTTTTTCATCATGTATTATCACTTTTTCTTCCTAAAGATACATTTCCTCTTCGTTTTGTTTTACTTTTGTGCAAAGTGAAAATGAAATACATCTGTTCCCTGCTGTTCTTGTTTGCCAAAGTTTTGGCCTATATTTCAGCCGAAAGAGAGAAAAGAAAAACACGTTGGCAGAAAGGTTTGCAGCTAAACAAATTTAATTCATTTCAATACTAGTTCCATTATTCTTTCTTGTCTAAGTTTGTTTTCTAGGTTTTATGATAAAACTTTTTCTGATAAAACGTTTTATGATAAAACTTTTATCAATCTGCTTCCGTAATCTTTGAAGATGAACAGATTTAATCATTTAGTTTTATTATACTACTCACTGTAAAACATGTTTTATTTTATATATTTATTTTTTGAACTGGATGTTTTGCATTTTAAATACAGTACACCTTCTTAATTTTGAAAAGAAATTAATTGATTTCATTGTCATACTAATTTCATTATTCTATCTGATTTAAACTTATTTTCTAGGATTGGATACCTTAATATCAATCCACCAAAGTGATTTTGAAGAGAAAAATAATTTTACTTCATTTTGATGTCGGTTTCATATTCTATCGGGTCTAAAACTTATAGAATTGGAGACATTACTTACCACTCAACATTCGTAATTTTGAAGAGAAATAAATTTACTTCTTTTTCATACCAGTTTTATATTCTATCTGATCTAAAACTTTTTTATAGGATTGGAGACCTTGTAGTGAGTGCGAAATAATAACTTCCTTTCGGCCATTCCTTTCAAATTCGGAGGATTGATAAAAAAGAAACAGAATTCGCAAGTCAACGTGAAATTTCTTTTGGACCAATGAAAACCTTGCCTTCATAGACCGGCCAGTCAAGAAGAAAAAAAAAAGTAGTGAGTCGACTTGAAAATTTTTTTATATAATATGACGAGACAAATTTAATCAGAAAAGAGTGTCTGAAGTCGTGAAAAGTTTCATTTCAATTCCTCGCGACCTGCGTTGAAGTTCTTGTCCGTATAAAATTATTCGCTAATTATATTATCGGGTTCTAACCAAGCACACGGCACTTCAAAGATTTTTGTCTCAACAACCCAAGAACGATAAGTATTTCAAACTATCTCACTTCGTCTACTTTTGAACATATACCAGCCATATATCCCTTAAGAATTCTGATTTATTTTCCTGAAGCGTGTAAATTCATGGATAAATTCATTATCTTGTTTTATTAAAATTACCCGTGTATTTCCTCGTTATTATCATTCTTCTTGGCTTGAGTAAATTGATTTTTTCTTTTTTGATTGATGTTGTTATCTCACTCTCAAGAGTTTAAATTTTAGTTTAAATTTCACGTTTGAATCAATTATCATTTTTATTACAATTAATCTTAATATTTAGCAGCCATCATGTTTCTTTCATTTTTACACTGCTACTTTTGAGAAGGACAATTAGCTATACTTCCATGATTCTAGGGATAGAATACTACTCCCTTTTCTACCCGTAAAATCCCAAAACAAACTAGAATGTCAGTTAAACATCGCATGTTTATAAGGCCGATGTTCTGTGGGCCGATGATCAACTCTCGAAATAAGTTAACTGAATAAACTCTGAGAAGTAACTTAACTTGAAAGGCAAACCCAGGACAGTTTTGAAAGATCTTTTAGAGGTATGTACTATTTTTAATTCTTTGTTGAATTTTTAATAGATATCTTGGCTTTTTTTCTTTCTTTTTTTCAGTAGGAGTAGATAAGCATTACTTCTTCTCTTGAACAGAAGTAGAGGCTCATTCTTTGTTTCCAGTTTAGGAAAGAGTTCCCTGTTCCTTTCCTCTTCTGAGGGCTTAATAATGGTGCTATCATAATTTTTTGTTATTTTAGTGGATAGTGGCTACGTCTGTTCATACTGAGGGTACCAGGTTGGTTGCTGCTTCTCGAGTGGTAGCTAGGAGCCCAAACTCTTGCATAGCGTCTTGAGAGGCTGCACCGATCAACACTCAACAGTCGCATAATAATGGGTTTCTTGCAGTGTCGTGTCGCACATGGAAGGGTGTTCCTACAAGCAACGCCGAGGCAACACTATGTTGCAGTCTGCGCCAATTCCCAACCCGCACTTGTTACATTAGACGACCGACTGCTACGACTACCCTAGGTCTTTCTTTGCCAAAACAACACACCACGGCGATAAGCAACCAACGAAACAAAACTAACCCAGCTCAAGAAAAAACACCTAAAGCCCTCAACCTTTCCTTCTTCAATATTCGCGGTATTGGTACCAACTTATAAAGTGTGGGATCGTTCCTCTTAGAACAATCTCCAGGCATCCTAGTTTTCTGTGAAACTAAACGCCCCCACCCTGAATTCTCGAATCCTGGCCATCTTCCTTTATTTAGGAAGGACTCTAATGCCCACATGCTTGGCCTCTGAATTTATGTCCGTGAAAATCTCCCGCTTGCTAGGGAACTGCTAAACTCGGTCAACTATCGCATTTTTCTCTACTATTCCCCTTCCTCTCATGACTGTTGCGGGCTAGATAGTATATCTGATAATATTGACAAGGCCATCTCTCTACACCCGTTTGCAAATATATTTGTGTTCGGTGACTTTTAATGCCCACCATGTCACTGAGCCCGTTGTCATCCAAACACTGAACTTTTCAATCACTTAATCTCTCACGCAAGTGGTGAACTTCCCACGCGTTCCTTACTAATCCTAATGGACACGCTTTTCATCTTGATCTCTTCTTTACCTCTATTCCTGACTCATGTCGTACTCTGCAGTTCTGCCCTCTTAGTATATCTGATCATGCGGTCTGTTGCCATATCTAGTCTGGTGCAACTGCTATTCATCTCGACGTTCTTGACAAAATCCAAAGGAGGATCTACAATGTAATCGATCCTGACCTGGCATCTCGAATTCAGTCACTTTATCACCGCAGTGACGTGGCTTCCCTCTGTCTTTTCCATAAATATTTTCATGTTAACTGATCTGACGAGCTTTTTATCCGACTAACATGAATTTAAGCGTGCAACTAGACTGTCACCGAAGTTCCACCCGTTTACTGTTGAAATAGCGAAAAGCAACCACCTCTTCTAATCCAGCTTTTTCTTTTTTTGCATTTCCCGTCTGTGGAACACCCTTCCATTTACTTGCTTCCCTGATGACTAAAATCTTCAAAAATTTAAATGCAACGTCAATCGCTATCTTCTATCTTCTTGTACCCTGTTATTCTTTTGTCCATTCCTCAATACTCAGTTTTACTCTAATTTTCACTCTATGTAACCCTCCTTACTAGTTGCATTCTCGCCTTGCTTGGGGTGAAACGATTAAAAAAATGTCCGATAGATCAGTAGATAAATTGATAGATATATCTACTGACATACATGGATAGATAAATGCTTGTGGACATGTACCTTTATAAATTGAGGGAAGTATATGCACATAGACAGATAAGAGCTTCATTAGAGGCATAGATAGATAGATAGATAGATAGATAGATAGATACTGACATAGATAGACAGATATTGGTCTACTGACAAAGATAGATATGGGTCTGCTTAGATAGATATGGATCTACTACGATAAATATATACGTGTTTACTACGATAGATAGATACATACATACGTAGACAGAGAGATATGGTTCTACTGAAATACATAGATAGAGAGAGAGAGAGAGAGAGAGAGAGAGAGAGATATGGGTCTACTGACATAGATAGATAGATAGATAGATATGCTTATATTTAGATATAGGTCTATAAATATATAGATATGGGTCTACTGACATAGATGAATATGGGTCTGCTGAGATAGATAAATAAATACATATGTGTCTACTAAGACAGATAAAAAGGTGTCTACTATGGTAGATTGAAAGATACGCGTCTACTGTAGTAAATATTTAAGAATATTGTGCTTCAAATAAAATATGCAATATCCACTAACATAAATTATAAGAAATGGCGAAATGGTAACGATATTCAGTCACAAAAATACATGTTTGAAATAACAAACTAAATTTTATATACATAATCTACGTTTTCTTTGTTTGTAATGATGTGTGCGAAAGTATATTTAAGAGAAAAAATTCTTTGCTGTTTCGGAAATGTTCAATGCCGAAAGTAAATAAAGGTTGTGAGCCTTTGATTAAAAAGGTTGAATTTAAATTAGACAAAAGTTTTTTCTATGAACGTTATTGAGTGAAAAAGTTTGTATAAATTTTTCTAATCCCTCATAAAGAAAGTTGTTTCTTTGGCGTCTCTCTGGTGTATAATTCCCTTGTGTATCCTTTGCGCGCGAGAATCTCAAATGCGCCGAAAGCTTGTTCGTTGTTTGTATTTAACGATTAAATCGGCTGAATGGAGTTTTGGTAGATGTTTTTTTAGCCAATAGGATTTCTTGAAACATTTAAATTAGGGGTGAATTCGAGAAAGATTTTTTAAAGTCGGTTGAGCCTATTTTTGCACAAAATTTGACTGTTTTGTAATGGAAATTTCTCGAAGCTTCTTTTGCCTTTATCAACCAATGAAATGCAAGAAAATGTTTGATATATATAGCGAGTAATTCACGCGAGAATGTGGTGTACTTCTGCTGTGTAGAACTGAGTTTAACAGAGAAGAAAGAGATAGTTTTTTCTGTCCACCATAAACTTGATGCAACCCATCCCAAACCGTGTTTGAAGAAGCATCTGTGGTAATATTGGGCTCGTCTATTAGCCCAATCTTACCTTCTTCGAGTAATGCACTATTCCAACTTTCACTCGTAAATCTAGCCCTCTGATTGGTTCATTTCTACCAATCAGGTCGCCCGCACGTGCACCTCGACGTTTTTGGCGCAAAATCATTTTGGATCTACCCATGTGATCATGAACCCTTAAAAAGAACCCAAAAGCACGTGTGACACGAGAATCAGACGGAGACGCAGACCTGGGCAGATCAGCAGCAGACCATTTTTCGACTACTTACTCAAGCTTAAAACTGTGACGACTACAATTCACCGTCTCGCGTTCGAGACGACAAATCTTTTCCGTTCAATATCTTCTACGAACGTCTTCGTCATTCAAGAATCTCAAACTATACATTCTCTTTGACCATCTACGATAAATCAGTCAGTCCAACGAACACAGAAATATGCTAATCCAATCCACGTCGCTTGCAATCATAATCTTCCTGCGCAAACTAAATCACAACTGACTCACTCACAAGCTCGACCCGAAGATTACTCTGTGAACACCGAAACTTCTATCCGAACGATTTTACTTATCTAAAGTGAATTAACACTACCATTTTAAGTAAATACCATTATCGAACGAACTCAACATTTACAGTTAAAGATAGACTACTTTGTGATGACTCAATTCTAAAAACATAATAACGATATTCTAAACACTAATTACAATTTTCTAAAAGACTGTAATACAGATACACAAGACACAAAAAGGGCATACAAAAAAACTTCAAATATTACGAACATACCAACACATTAACATCTTCTAAAATATTCTGTACATATTATTTTATTTGTATATAAATGTACTTATTGCTTTTTAATTGCATGCATATTTTTATCTTGTTTATATCAAAATTGTTTTATTGTTGTGGATGCAAGAAAAGATCACGCAACCTGACATAAAAAATCTTTCTGATTTATCTTAATGCTATAGCAAAATCCTTAGTTCATTCTGCACATCCCCAACAATAAGAGTAAGGACCGTGTTCTTATCATCAGTGACGTATGCTAATTTCGTAAAATTTGCGAGGGCATGTTTCGCTCGTTCGAAAGCTGAGGATCGTTCTTCGTTATGTGAAGTTTTACAGTTTTTTCGATGTTGATTTTTTAACATATTGGTAGAGGTAATAAAATTCCAGAACAATTAGGAATAAATTGGCCATAATGATTTATCATACCAATAAATCTGCATGGTTGCTTTAAGGTAGTAGGTTCTGAGAATTTAGTGATCGCGTCGACTTTAGAATTGACAGGTGTAATACGAATGATGTCAATAGTGTGACCTAAAGACACTAGTTCAGAAACAGTGAACAAACACTTATCCAAACTGGTTTTCAAATCGAAGTCGTTCAAATACATCGCGTAAGTGTTGTAAATGTTCAGCTTGTGATTTAAAGGCGATTAAGACATCATCTACGTAAGCGAAAGTGTAATCAAAGCCGCGCAAGACCTCATCAATGAAACGTTGAAAAGATTGGGCTGCATTTCTATGCCAGAAAGGCATACGAACGTACTCAAAAAGACCAAATGGACTGTTTACTGTGGTTTTTTCAATATCCCACTTAGCAATGGGAATACGATGAAAAGTTTTTCGCAATTCCAACTTAGAGAAGACCTTAGCGCCTTGCAGAGTAACTGCAAAGTTTCTCAAATGAGGAATAGGATATTTATCCGGTGTAGTTTGATCATTTATGGACGCCAATTATTAGCTCCAGGTTTAGAAACCATATGCAATGGAGTAGCATAGGGGCTGGAAGAAGGACGAATAATTCCCTGTTGAAGAAGACGCTGAAATTCAGCCGTCACAAATTTATATTTTTCAAGGTGAAGACTACGCAGGCAGGAATACACAGGAGGTCCAATAGTAGTAATTTCATGTTCAGCAATTTTGTCGAATTGGCTCAGTATACGTAAAGGGTGATAATTCTGGAAACTGACGTAAGAGTCGACGAATATCATCGTTAATAGGAGTTGTAGAACAAATACCTAGGGTTCGTTTAAAGGTACGAATACCCTTAATAGATAAGGATGTAATGTTATCAGTTAGCATGCGAGTGGCCACATCCACTCGTAGACCAAAGTGTGCAAGAAATTCAGTTCCTAATATTGGCATATCGACTTGGGCTATGATAAAATTCCAGGAAAACTGTCGTCGTAGTTCAATGTTCAAAGTGAGTAATTTTTCTCCGAAGGTTTGAATCTTAGTTCCGTTTGCCGCTTGTAGTTGCAAGTAAGAGGTTACAGGCATCATAGACCGTGTTGGTGGTATAACATTTACTTGTGCTCCAGTGTCTAGTAAAAAGTTAAGTTTTGAATTATGGTCAGTAACGTAAAATAGGCGGTTGGCAGTTTGCGTCCCAGCAGCTAATTCCGCCTTTAATGGCTGCTGGGATACCCGTTTTCCGAATGTCTAGATTGAGGGAAACCGCGTGGCATTTAAATGCTCGCTGTCCAAAGCATTTATGATACCAACACTCCCACCCGAAATTGCTTTGACGGTGGCGGAAAGCGGATCTGCTGTTTGCGTGGTACTGTTTAGGCTGAAATTGACTTCTTCCTCACTGCATCTGCTGAGAAATATCTCGAACTTGTAATGCCAATTTAGAAACTTGGTTGGTTAGTGTAGATATCGGGTCTGCAGGATCAGTAGTGGAAGAAGTTGCTGAAAGAACTGGGGTAACGGATTCCGAATCGGCTATTCTATCAGCGATTTCAGCTATTTTGGCTAGTTCAATATCCTCAAGTAGAGAAGCTATGATTTGAACTATGTGGGGTTTCAGTTTGTCTAGCCAAAGTTGTTTCAGGATTTTGTCAGATATGGAGTTATTACCAAGTAGAATTTTCATTCGTCTGAAAAGCTGTGAAGGTTTATTGTTCCTGAGTGAAATGTTCGTGAATAGCTCTTTCAATTTTTGTTCAACCGAATGTCCAGTTCGCTGAAGTATTACATCTTTTTATCGGTAGGCATATCCGCCAGTAAGTCGTATATTTCGGCAGCTATATCTGTAGTAAGTTTATTTATTACATATGCGTATTTTGTTGGCTGTGAAGTTATGTGGTGTGCCGTAAAAATAGCGTTGACCTGCTGGAACCATGTTTGAACATTCGCATTGAAGTCAGGCAAAGTTAGTGTTGTGGTGCCCTCCCTTCAATGAGTCGATTGTGGACTCATTGAAGCGGGGGACTATGATGCCTGTAACCTCTTACTTGCAACTACAAGCGGCAAACGGAACTAAGATTCAAAACTTCGGAGAAAAATTACTCACTTTGAACATTGGACTACGACGACAGTTTTCGATTCCACTGAGTATAAGACTGGTTGGAGATTAAGTCTCGGGGAACAGTATACACGCGCACTCCCAAGTTGTGTTATACTCTTCTGTTGCATGTACTGTTCAATATACTATTTGTCTGTGAACTCTTTTGTTATTCCGTAACCATTCATTTGGTCATAACTTCATGTGGATCATAAAATTTTTTCGTTGCCAGTGTCTACAACATTTTTAGCGACGAAGACACAAAGAGTCGTTCTTCACGTTAAATTATAAAAATTTTGCCAGTGTTTAAAATACTGAAAGAAAGGAATTATACGGCAAAAGGATAGCCGGTGTTAATTATAACACTGTCAGTGGAAAAAGAAATTCCACAAAACAAAAAGATTTCTGTAAGTCAATTCAGTGGTTGGTGAACCTTGTTATTGTTGTTGTTATAAAATAAAATAAGACATATCTCGGCTGATTTGCAGGCAAATAAACTAACATACTCAAGAGCGAAAGTCGGATGTGAACGCGACAAGGCCCCATCACAAAAGTTCCGGTCGAGAAATAAAATAATATTTTAAAGTGTTTCTATTTTTCGACCAATAAAAATGCTTCCCTCCTAATTATACTCGTGTCGTTTTTCGAGCCTGTTAAGCCATAAAAAAAATGCCATAAAAGGGGTCACATAGGGAAGTGCTGGCAGTCAACAGGAGGCCAGAGAGTCTGTCTGAGTTCAGTCTGAATTCGGACGACCGGCTGACCAGTTGAACTCTCGGTCTTCGGGCAGGGAAGAACCCGAAGGAGGCTACGCCGAAGGGCGGATTCTCTTTCGGGGAGGTAAACCGACCCTGAACCCGTTTATACGGGTTCAATGGGTATATTTTTGGCCGGGCCCACGGGCTCGGAGATCCCACGTTAAACAGGCCTTGTGCCACATGATGCCCTCGTGGGGTGGGGGGGGTTACTAAATATAGTCAACAGGAAGCCAGAGAAGAGATCTGTCACGGTCAGTCTGGGCAGTCAGCAGGAGGAGCGCCACGCCAACCAGTGAGAACTACTATGAGAGATCAACCCAGATCGGCTGCCGGCTTATGAACTATACCACAAGGTAGCTGTCCCAAACCCACACGTTCCTATTGAATTAAATCACGTAAATCTATTTCTGCTGTTGTCGTATTTCTTTCTTGCAACCACACGCTTGTCTATAAACATTGTTGAAGTCAGACAGGCTTATTGTTTGGTTGAGTGAAGAAAAAGTTTTTTCTTAGTTTTTCGTACCACTCCTAGAAAATGGGCGAATTCAAAAGGGCAATGCTGGAAATGTTAAAACACCAACAAGAATTCCAACAAGAACAAGCAAAACACCAACAAGAACAGCAAATATTGTTGGAACACAGGTTTCAAGAAAGACAACTGGAATTCCAATGAGAACAAGCAAAACTTCAACAAGAACAATTACTCTTGGAACACAAATTTCAAGAAAGTCAAGTGAAATTTCAGCAAAACAAGCAAATGTCCGAACTAACACACACCATTTAAAGTTTAAAATTAAGAAAATGGCTGCTTTTAAGAAATCGAAATTAAATGTGACATTCCAATGTATATAATTTCTATCTGAAATATACCAGAATTTTTTACTTAATGGAAATAATAAATTTAATCATTAAGCTTTTAATTAAATCTAAAATGAAATCTTCAAGAATGTTTTTTTTTTTTTTTTTTTTTCTAAAAATTCATTTTAAACTTAGGTATCGAAAATTTATACCGAAAAAGTGGAGGTCCCTAATTTAAACTATTGGCTGATGCAGCTGACAGGATAAACCCTCTCTATGAGATTGATGAAAGCCAAAATAATACTAGGCTTATAGAAAAGGCAGTGGCTGACTTCCAACAAGTGAGAGAGTTGACCATATCTATTCATCGAAGACCCAGGAGCAGATTTCCCTTTAATCGTAGCTACAAGGGTTGACGAAAATCTTCTAGCCGTAATCGGACAGTTAACCCAGACTTTTGTTCGTATCATCATATTCATGGCACCAAAGAGAAACATTGTATATCTCCCTGTACATATCATTCGATTCAGGGAAACGGAACATCCAGCATTTAAAATAAAGACACACTTCTTTTTATTTAGTACAAAGTGAAAATAAAATGAATCTGCACGTTCATGTTCAAATTTTTTTAATCCTAAATTTAGGTCGAAAGAGAGAAAAGAAAAATAAGGGTAGCTAAATGGTTTGGTTAAAAGTGAAACAAACAAAAGTAGTGATATTGGTAGACCTGAAAACTATTTTTTTTTTCATTGAAATCTTGTTATATATCACAGCATCGGAAATAGAGAGAAATGAATCTACTTAGATAGATAGATAGATAGATAGATAGATAGATAGATAGATAGATAGATAGATAGATAGATATGGGTCTATTGTGATAGATACATAGCTTGAGTTTGAGAGAGATAGAAATGAAGTTGAAGAGTCAAGGCTCTGTGTACATCGTATGTGCTTGCATGTGCGTATAGAAAATTATACACATATATATGGACATGCTAGATAAAAATAGAACTGAAAACCAATATTTTCTAAAAAGGAGACATAAAAAATAATTACATGTATTTACGAATAAGTCCTGTCAGTTCCATTAAAATCAACAATTATTTGATTTTTTTAAAGTTAGATAGATAGATAGATAGAAATAGCGACTTAAGACCAAGATTTTCTAAAAAGAAAACATAAAAAATAATTATGTGCATAAGTCTTGTCATTTTCATTCAAATCTAACAATTATCCGACTTTTTAGATATAAGTAGATAGATAGAAATAGCGATTAATACAAAGATTTCCTAAAAGGTAAACATAAAAAAACAAAAAAAACATGCATTTGTGAATAAGTTATGTCAGTTTCATTAAAATCTAACAATCATCTGAACTTTGTAAGCATTTCAAAATCTATGTGATTTTTACCACCAAAAGATGCCCAAATTTCCCGTACTAATTTATGGTATTATGTTAACACAAGAAAACCAAGATTTATCACCGAAATTTGGAAGACTCTAAAAAAGATTAAAATATCATTTTTACATGAAAAAATCTTTTGGTCATTCCTCTTAATAATAAAACAAAGGTTTTTTACAATAAAACTTTGTTTTTATTAAGTATTAGCAATTTTATCATCATCTTTCTTTCGTATAAACTAAAGAAACATTTCCTTTTATTTTGTACAACATGAAAATAATATACATCTACACCTTCCTACTCTCCTTGTTTGCCAAAATGTTGCCTTAAACATCGGTCGAAAGAGAGAAAAGAAAAAATACGTTTGAGTTCAGCTATGTGGTTTGGTTAAAAGTGAAACGAATGTTTTAAATTGGCATACTTGAAAACAAGTTATTTTTTATTTTATAGGAAAAAACACCTATATTTTGAGTTTAATAAATGAAACAAAAACAAGGAAGAGACGTCTACAAATGAATCTTACTAAATTCAGTAGACACGAAAAACTTTTTTTTTTTTTAATTCTTACAGAACACGGCTTAAAATTAACTAGTTTCTGGGACCTGATTGGATAGGGCAACTCACGTGGTGCTTTCTACGACGCCCATGCGGTTAAACTCCAAATGGCCTGGAAATGGCAAGAGCTAGGCTACTGAATACATTCCCGCACAAAACTCATATAAGATTCGTAAGTTGAGTGCTGGGTTACCATAAGCTACATAAATGGCTCTCCATTAACAGCGAAGGTAGTCAGTGAAATCACAGTCAGCGAAGAAGGCTCTGCCTTGATCAACATACCATGACATCGCATTAGACAGCGATGAGTTTTCTAAATAAATGCTACAACGAAAGTAAGTCTTGTCTCCTCTCTCTTTGTTCATTGCGTTTTAAAATTACTACCACCACACACAATCAGTCATCAGTCAGACGTTTCATTGGCGTGAATTTTCCTCCGACACACACATATAAACGTGCCATACCACGTGATTTCTTCACTTCTAACAAAAACACTTCGAAACTTTGCAGACTCACTTGCGATAAACCATTTCGAGCAATCAAAGTAGTGGTCTCTTCATGGCCACAACAAAGAACGTTAAATTTTAATATGTAAATACATGTACCTGTCTGTGTAAATGTTACCGTCATATTTAGTGTTGTGGATTCCGAGATGAATTCGGTCTCCAATGAAGAACAAACGCAATAATTAAGTATAAGAAATAAAATGTATTTGCACAATCATACAAAGGGTAATACTGTTAGTAAATCCAGGAACACGGTTAGTAGCAAATACAGATAGATAGATACAGTCTCGAAGTAGGAATTCCTTAGAGTCTACGTGCTTGTAACTGACTTCTACAAGAGGCTACCTCTCACTATCTCCGTTCGTATATCCTCTCTCTCTTTCCGACTACTCTCTCACTATCCGACTACCCTCACTGACTGTCTAACTCTGGGTATTTAATGGCAGCAGTCCAGGTACACTGGTAGAGTCCACTTATATGAAAAAGGGGTGGACCCCATAACATTTAGTTTTATCTTCTTCCTTTTCTGCGATGATCATTTCTTCGCCTTGTATAAAAATTGTGTTGTATTTGTTGACACTGATTTTTATTTTTCCTCCTAAAATCCGGGTATACTGACCCCACAATTGAAATCTTGTTCTATATTGGAGTCATGGTGAATGCTTAATAATAATAACTCCCTTTACTCACTCCCTTCATATTCGGAGGACTGAGGAAAAAGACGGAAAAAGCCGAGGTGAAATTATTTTGGGACCAATGAAAATATTGTCTTCACGTAAACTAGACGTTGAGCCAAGAAGAAGAAATAAAAGAAATTAGCAAGCCTATGCGAAATTCCTTCTGATATAAAATGAGGAAAAAATGAATTTAATTAGAGAAGATTGTCTAAAGTCATGTGAAAGATATCGTTTCTGTTCACCGCATCAAGTTCTTGCCTGTATAAAATTATTCGTCAATTTTATTATCAGCCTTTAATCAATAAAAATAATAAATTAATTTTTTTTTTTTTTTTTTAAAATTGTCCGTGTGTTTCCTCGTCATTATCAACCTCAATTATCTTCTTGGAGTGGATAAATCAACTGTTCATTTTAACCTACGCGACTATAATCTGGTGACGCTTGATGTGCGTGGAAACACATACTTATTCTATTGCCTTCTTCACAAGTGGACATGTCTGACAACAGACAGGAGATGAATCGAGCGACAAGGGAGGTTGGCGAATTGATACAAATGATATCCATTAAAACACCCGTGTCCATTGAATCAAATGTGATTGCATGGTTCTCAATTATGGAGGCTCAGTTCAACATTATGAGGATAAGAACACCTATACAGCAATTATATCAAGTGTTGCCTGCATTACCACTGGAGAGAGTATGCAAGCTACAACCTACAATTATGCAGTCGGGAGAATTTAAAGCAGTCGTGACGTTGTATAAGAAATCAAAGCCAGAGTTGCTTAACAAATTAATGTCTTCTTTCATTCTCACGGACAGACCATCCGTTAATTTAAAATTTGAGTGAGCAAGCACATCATACGACAAAAGTTAATGCAAGCAATGTCGATTAACATAAAACCTGGAAGCACGAACGGATTTAGAAATGGAAAAACTTAGGAAAATGGCTGATGACTTGCTACTATATTTTAATAAGCAAAGATCCACTCCCGTTCAGCAGATTCAACCTAAGAAGGAAAAAGATTCTCGTAATAAGAATTACAAATTCCAATCTGCTGTAAAACTGTATCATCAGGATCAGAAACCCAAAATATGTAGGGCGCACATCTACTATGTGCAAGATCTTGTAAATCATGTTTTATGTGGCCGAATAAACTGGAATCAATCATCCTTACGACCATCATCACCAGCACGTGACGAGAAAGCGTAAAACTTGTGTCTCGGGAGGTGATGGCCTTCAACACCTTCCCACCACTTTTGGAAGTAACCAGATATTTAGGTACTCAGAAAATTACATTCATTGTGGATATAGGAGCTGCTTTATCAATTATTCCAAAGGATTACTTGACTAACACAATTCTATATCCTACGAATATCTTGCTAGTTTCTGCTAACAATGTAAAAATAGAGTGCTCCGGGCAGAATGTGCAAATTTTAGCAATAAAAATCTTAGGAGAAACATTTATTGTGACTAACACTAAGAAACCACTTTTGAGATATAACTTCCTAAGTCACTAAGGACTAACAGTGGATTGTAAAAATAAGTTGCTCGCCACAATTACTATTATGCAAAGTGGGTACAATCTTAAAATTTCTATTTCAAAATATATTTTCGGTGCTACAGAACTTGACTTTTTAGGATTTCATATTTCTAAGGAAGGAATTAAACCTAGTGCCAATAAGATTCAGGACCTGAACAATTTTCTTTCTCCCAATGATTCAAAAAGGTTGCAACGATTTCTTGGAATGGTCAGTTTTATAGAAAATTTCAATGCATTCCTATACTAAAATTATTAGAAATGCATATACATTATAAATATAATAGCCCTAGTCGATGTAATGTTTCATTAAATACGATTAGTGATATGAAAACAATTAGATAGATAGATAGATAGATAGATAGATAGATTAATTAATCCATCCATCCAAACTAGTGTGGATATGGGACTGAAGCCCCACACCAGCACTTTTTGATGGGACTAAACAGAAAAATTAAAATTAACCTCGCGATCCCAATATATGCCAATTCTATTTAGCTGAGCTGTATTAATCTAAAATCATGACTGCCATTTAATTTTCAAAATAAACCAGAAACTTCATTTTCCTTCTTTTATAGAAAACATTAATTTCTAAAATGTTTGCGTAAAGTCTTATATATGGAAATAATCTATTAGTCTAATTTCAGAAATTAAGTACAAGTTTGAAAAATAATTTTATTTTTACAAAAATAAAATTTTATTTCTTTTTACAAAAATTCATTTGAGTTTTCTTCTAAAGAATCACAAAAATTTTGACGATATTTTTTTTCATTATGCTTCTTTTTTTTAGCATGTATCCTCTTTTCTTTTTTATATCAAACTTCGGGAGGTAAAATTACAACACCAATAATACTCGATTTTTTATTATTGTTGTGGATTCCGGGATGAAATCCGGTCTCAAATGAATGACAAACGCAAGAATGAAATATAGCAAATAAATGTATTGACGTAATAGTTCAATTGGTAATACGGTTAGTAGATCCAGAAATGCGGTTAGTAGCAATAATAATATATATACAGTCTGGGAAATTCAGTATCGAAGTAGGGCTTCCTTCTGAGTCTACGTGCTCGCAACTGTGGCTCCTACAAAGCGGTTACCTCACTCTCTCACTGTATCACTGTATCTCTCGTCTAACCCCCGGGCATTCCCCGGCAGCAATACAAGTACACACTGGGCGAGTCCACTTGTATGAAAAAGGGGTGGACCCCATAAACCCCCCTCGCTCCTTAGATCCCTTTTGGAGGGAGTTAGTATTTTTTTCTCTTATGGTCGATAACCATAGGTTCGGTAAATTTTCTCTTCCTGTTTTAAATGATCTCTTGGGTACAATAGGTGTATACTGGTTTTTGTTCTTGTTTGGTAATAATTTGTCAAACACAGACTGTATTTTTACTTTCGTCCTCTGCATAAATTCATCCTTTTCCGCTTCTCTTCTTATCTCTCGTAAAGTCACAGGTAGTTCCTTTACTGCCTTGTATAACTCTTTACTGTTTTCATCTATGGTAGCACATGGCACGTTTCGCTTCTTTTTACATACTGGTTGGACGTTTTCTTTTGATTCGATTCTGGCCTCGAATTTGTTGCATCGTCCCAACCTGTTCGAAAATACCCCAGGAAATTGGTTATATAATTCTTCCTTTAATTTTATAACATCTGATGGTTCAACCTCTAACTTTTTTCAAAAAGAGCTGATAGGTAGGTCCTAAACGTTGAACTTTTGCATCCAGTCAATACCTACTAGATTTTCAGTATCTTTCATGACGTATGTCTTAATTTTTTTTGTTTTGCCGTGAAATTTAACATTCACGATTATTTCTCCTTCGATTTTTATTCGTTTGCCTGTAACCGACTTGGCAATTTTTTGTGTATGTAACATGGTAGGTCTGTTGAGTTTTCTCCATGTCTGTAGGTTGATTATCGTGAGGTCGGAACCCGAATCCAGTTGCAATTTTATCTTTTTATTTAAAATTTCCAGTTCTACATATTTCCTTATGTTGGTTTTGTCTTCGTTATGCATCCTAGTAGCTCTTATTCTATTAGTATCTTTTCTATTCTTACATTAGTATGCCTTGTGGTCCTTTTTTCCACACTCAAGACAGTTTTTATATCTAAAGCGGCAATCCTTGTTCCAATGTAGTCCTCCACATCGATAACATGCTGATTGGCTTATATTTACTTCGATTTTCGTCATAGTTTGTCCTGTATGTTGTACTTTTTTTCTTATTATAAAATTTACAAAAACGACAGTCTAGATTGTTTACGTTACCGTCTTTGCAAATTCTAACAATTCCATCTGCCTCTCTGCCGACAAGCAATCCACATTCCACATTTTTTTATTTCTCAAATTATATTTGGGACCTGACATTCCGTACTGCATTTCTGCTTATCAGAAAGAAAAAATACGTTTTTACGTGAACCCTTTTAATCTTTTTATGCTACCTGTGTTACAATAGTGTCTCATTTAATCCTTTCAATTTCAACCAGTGACATTTTATAGTGTCACAATTGTTTTGGGAAAAAAAAATTAAAATAAGCCTATTAAATATGCACCCCAGTACCAGTTTGTAAAGTACACTTTTCCAAATAATGAACACAAAAAAGATATATTTTTTAATTATTTGTTTAAACAAAAAGGGATTTATTTAACCAAAACTTAAAATTTGACACAATTAGTTTTCACATAGAAACAAAAAATGAAAATAAACATCACGTTGAGAAATAAGAACTTGAACTATTTTCACATACACTCAAATGTTTTGTGAGGGCTTCGTTTGCTTGATCTGAGTAGGTGACACTTAGAAATCTTTTTCTATGTTGATCTAACAGCTCGGCTCTTCCTTCCTACAAATGCTTTGCTCATCGACAAATCACAACGAGCGGCTTTATAATTACCCCAATGATTCAAAAACATTGCAATGAAATATTAGAATGGTCAGTTTTTACAGAAAATTAATACCACTCACAAAATGTATCAGTTAGAATCCTACTGCAAAAAATGTCTTTAACCGTGGAAGAGTTATCTTCTTTCCAAGATGTGAACAAGTGATTATCGAGTGTAACAGCATTAGCCTTCCCAGATCCAAATGTTAAAAATTATCCATAAATAACTAATCTATCCCCATTGGTTTCTTCTCTAGAAAGTTATCACAGATTGAACAGAGATATTCTATCTTCGATTGTGAATGTATCTAATATCTAGGAGTGTTGTAGTTTAAACGCCTCATAGAAAGTAGGGATACACTTTTGTTAACGGATCATAAACCCTTGTGTAGTGCCTTTACTAGCCATTTGATATTAAAGTGGGACAGACAACAGCGTCATTTGAGCTTTATAAGTGAATACGTTATAGAAATTTCCCATATAAGAAAGCATGAAATATCGTTGTAGACAGTTTATAAAGACCAGCTAATGCTGTAACAATAGATCTTTGTGATTTACAGGAAATTATCAACCATCAGCATTCTAATGAAGAACTTAAAATGTATAAAGACAGTTTGAAACCTTGCTACACAAGTAAAAAACCAAGTTATAATGTGCCTTATGTCACAACTGTTTCTGGGATCTTTTGTACTGCAGAAGCTGATGAAATCTGTATTTGGTAGTCTATACACCCATGAATATCAGGTAAATTACGCTTATGAAAATCTGGATGGACAAATCAGTCAAAAGTGTCAAAATTGCCAACAAGCAAAAGTTACTAAACATACTAAGGATGACATTCAACCTTTCAAACTACCTTCTATGTACACACAGGATACTAAAACACTGATAATTGCAAATAAATAATCATAGCTATCAGAGTTACCTATTGTACTCTTAGATATCACAATTACAGCCAACAAATCAACTTACCATATACAGCAGTGGCAAGGTGTAATTTGCCAGTTTCAAGACTATTAATAGACCCATATGATAAGAGTAACGATGAAGTATCAAACTTGACAATAGGAGACCTAGTGAGTGAATTGCCAAAATTTGCCATGGAGAATCAATGTACCAGGCACTTACATTCATCACCAAAACTCTATATCTCGAAGGACTGTAAATTTGTATGGCTTAAAACTGACAGATTTCAGAAATCTGTGGAAGGTCCGTACATAGGTCTATATGAAGTAGTTAACTGCAATAAGTACTTCACTATAACAACTGCAGATGTGAATAGCCATGTTTCCATAAACAGACTGAAACCAGCATTTATCTCAGAAATTATGAAAATACCTAATATTCATAAAGCAATACCAACACGAAGATATATATCACCATATATCGACTGGACTATGGAGACAAGACAGCCATACACAACAAGAACTAAGTCTTGCAGATTGGTCACTATTAATGTACTAAGAGGAAGTGTAGTAAGTGTGAAAAAATAACTCCCTTCATCTACTCCCTTCAAATTTGGAGGACTGAAGAAAAAGAAAAGAATTGCCGAGCCTATGTGAAATGTTCTTTGGACAAATGAAAAGCTTGCCTTCCCAGAAATTGATCAGTGAGCTGAGAAAAAGGAGAAAAGAAATTCGCGAGCCTATGTGAAATTGTTTTTGAACTAATGAAAACCTTGGCTTTACAGAAATTAGCCACTGAACCAATAAGAAAAATAAAAGTAGTGAGCCTACACGAAATTCTTTTTTATATTAGATGAGAAACATTAAATTAATAAGAGAAAAGTGTCTGAAGTCATGTGAAAGTTTTGTTTCATTTCTTTGCAACCTGTGTTGACTTTCTTGCCTGTGTAAAACTATTCACCAATTACATATCTGGTTCTAATCAAGCACGTGGCACTTCAAAGAACTTTCTTTCAACAGTCCAAGAAAGCTAAATATTTCAAATTATTTCTCTTCGCATGCTTTTCAACGTATGCCAACCATATATTCCTTCGGGAGCATCGAACTTTCTTACCTTTGTCTTAATCATTTTTAGATATTATTTTATTTGGAACATTTCATTTCGTGACAATACGTTAAAATAATGGACTTTAACAATTCTGATTTATTTTCCTGAAATGAGCTACTGACACAACTTCAAACACGTAAATTTGCAAATATATTCCTTATCTTGTTAAAATTACCCGTGTGTTTCCTCATCATTAGTATCCTTCATTAATCTTTTTGGCGTGAGTAAATTAACTGTTCATTTTAACCCATAAGCTCCACGCCACTATAACTTTACTTATCACTCAACCCTTGCAATTTTGAAGAGAAATAAATTTACTTCATTTCGAAACCAATTTCATATTCTATCTGGTCTAAAAATTATAGGATTGGAGAGAGAAAAAAAAATTTAACCAAAATTTCAAAGCTTCCGAGAAGGATTATAAAATATAATTTAATAATCAAAAATTCTTTGGTCTTTCCTTTTGTTGTGGGATTGCAACACCTGGAAGTTT